TCCCCATGAGGAAGTGGTATTACTTGGGGAGTCGTATGTGGTAAGTTGTCTGGGTGAGTTTACCGGTGTCTGTGTATGTTTGTTAGCGGTGTCATTTGTCTGTTAGTGTTTGACATTGTTTGTCGGTATCTGCTAGTGTCTGCCGGTAGCTGTTATTGTCTGCTGGTATCTATCAGCGTCTATCAGTATCTGCCAGTGTCTGTCAATGTCTGTTAGCGTCTGCCAGTGTCTGTCAATGTCTGCCTGTGTCTGCCAGTGTGCGTCAATGTCTGCATGTGTCTTCCAGTGTCTATCAGTGTCTGTTAGCGTCTGCCAGTGTCTGTTAATGTCTGCCTGGGTCTGCCAGTGTCTGTCAGTGTCTGTCAGTGTCTGGTTGGGTTTGTACTGGGAGAGCGTTATATATTTTTATTTATTTTTCTATATTCTAATTCTAATATCTTACAGTATTGCTAATTCATGTTTTATATTTCTATCTATCTGTCTGTTTTTGTTCCCATTCTTTCTCTCTGTCTGTATGACTGTTTGTCTGTCTGTCTTTCTGTCTCTGTCTCTCTCTCTATCTATTTATCTATCTCTCCCTCTCCTTCCCTCTTTCCATCCCTCGATTCCTTCCATTCCTCACTCTTTCCCTATTCCTTCTCTCTTTCTCCACCCTTGCTCTCCTCCCCACCACCCTTCTTCTCTTCCTCTTTCTTTCACTCATATTCTTTCCTCCGCTCTTCTTCTCATCCCTCTCACCTTTCTCTTTCTTGCTCCTTTGCATTTCTCTATTCCCCTTCCTTTCCTTCTTTTCTCTCCCTCTTCCTCCCCTCCATGAAATCTTATTCTCCTCCCTCTCACCTTTCTCTTTCCTGCTCCTTTCCATTTTCTCTTTTCTCCTTCCTTTCCTTCTTTTCTCCCCCTTTTCCTCTTCTCCATCCCCTCCTTACCTTTCTTTTCTCCCTCTTTTCCTCCTCTCCCTCACCCCTTATTCCCCTCCCTCTCACCTTTTTCTTTCCTGGTCCTTTCCATTTTCTCTCTTCCCCTTCTTTTCTCCCCCTTTTCCTCCTCTCCATCACCTCTTATTCCCATCCCTCTCACCTTTCTCCTTCCTGCTCCTTTCCATTTTTTCTCTTCCCCTTCCTTCCCTTCTTACCCCCCCTTTTCCTCCTTTCCGTTTTCTCTCTTCTCCTCCCTTCCCTTCTTTTCTCTCCCTTTTCCTCTTTTCCGTTTTCTCTCTTCTCCTTCCTTCTCTTCTTTCCGCCCCCTTTTCCTCCTCTCCATCACCTCTTATTCTCCTCTCCATCACCTCTTTTATTCTCCTTCCTCTCGCCCCAAATCACCCGACTGGACGCACCTGCAAGCCTCCATACTAAACTCAGGCACAGCAGAAGAATCCAATTCCTTTAATGATATTTTGACTGCCGTCGCTCCCTCCATGACAGCTGGGATGCTCGTGACGTCATAGACACTCGCCATCTGCGGGAGAAAAATGAGTAAACAAAAATAGAAAAAAAGAGGGAAGTAATTTACTTTAGCTATTATGACTGTTGGTGGTGGTAAAAGGGGAAGCGAGTTGGAACAATGATGATATCTTAACCATATTCATATCAGGAATTTGCATGGGTGTAATTGTTACTGAATTATTAATTCGACGAGGGTCATCAAAAGTGGTTTGATAATATTCACAAGGGGTGTTAACTATAGGGATACACGGTGACAACAGCTGCAATAATGTGTCTGTTATGTTCACTGCGTAGGTTTCAAAGGGAGGGAGGAATTGAGAGAGGCAGGGAGAAAGAGAGAGGGAGAGAAGGACAAAGGGAGAGAGGGACAAAGAGAGAGAGAGAGAGAGAGAGAGAGAGAGAGAGAGAGAGAGAGAGAGAGAGAGAGAGAGAGAGAGAGAGAGAGAGAGAGAGAAAGATAATAAGAAAATTAAAAAGAAGAAAATCATAACAATAATTTCCTCTGATTACAATTAATCATAAAGTTCACGTGGTATTCATAACTTTCGAGTGACTCATAACGCTACACGAGTTTCACCACCGATCATGCAGTCCATTTTGTCCTTTTTTCTTCTCCAAGTGTTATCTGGACACACCCTACCTCATCCTAAACCCCCCCTTGCCCATTATAAACTAATCTAATCACCCTTACCATTAAGAAAAAAAAAATAGAATTGGACTAAACGCACATGGACAGAGAAACACGTCCTCCACCTATATTTTCTCCTGATAACCACCCTTATCTTCCTCCCTCCACATTTCTCTTACCTTCCCTTTCTTCCAACTTTTAGTGTGATGTTCGAATTCGAGAAGAAAAATTACCTTTCGATGTATGCGGTTGTGTGGCGAAGAATGTGGTCTAAATAGTGTTATTTTCTCTACTGAGGTCCCGGTGCTGACTAAAGCTCCGATAAAGCCTTATCTCTCGATTTCAGTATCTTATCAAAGTTGCTAGTTTTCTGGTGGTGCAATATATCTATTTATTACATATTTAACTGTATGGATATTACTCAGTTGGTGTTAGTACATTGAAGAGTCATTATTATTCTGATGGAAAAAAAGTGTGTAGTGTGGGAAAAAAAAAAAATTGTGCAAATCCCTCGTAATAATTTTGTGAATGGATTTGGGTGTGTCTAGGGGGGGGGGTAATGGGAACAAGAGGAGGGGTGGGAGAGGTGGTGATTGGTTGGCCTGCGAAATAATTTAAGAAATTATTACCCAATTAACATCGCTTTACACACGTCCCTACGATAACAAAGGTATGTTCATAATGAATGAAATTGATTTGACAAGTACACGCGCATGATCACCGAAGAACAAATGAGCAACGGACAATGAACAACGGATGTCATGGTATGATGAATAATGGAGCACATACTCATTAGGTGATGGAGGCGAGGTGATTAAAGAAAAATCTCCCCCCCTAGAAAATAAAAAAGAGACGGTCTCCACCATGAAAAAAAAAACAAAACAAAAAAACGGAAAGCGTAAAATATTTGCTTATTCATTGGTTCCAATATTACCACAAATAGCATAGGGTACCTGTCCTCCGAAGGCTTCTATTTCGTAATTAACTATGTAAATACGCTTGATCATTAGCACAAACATTATTTACCATAATCACACAATTGATTTTACATTAGATGCACAGCCCAAATAGAAAACAACATTATGGCTATTGAACCAGGGTACATTTATGCGACGCACAAGAGTGTTGTACAATGGTACAGTTATACAAGGTACATCGTAGGTGGTAAAGGACTGTATTATTAAAGTACCAATATACAAAATACAGCGTATAAAGTACAGGTATGCGGTACAGTGTACAGCTTACCTTTATACGACAGAGTATGGTGATTCAGTGAATGATTATGAATTATGTGAAGAGAAATTAATGGAAAGAAGGAACTGCCTTTAAAGTTAGCCATTATTAGACGTCAAAGTTTTGAAGATTAATTCCCTCAAAAGACTTATGGATTAAGTAAAGGATGAGAAAAGGATGATCGAAGGATGCTAAAAGGACCGAATTATCCTGTGAGGTCCTACAAGATATCCTAGGATTGTATTATAATATTGGAAGGATATCCGTGAAAGTAACCCTTGAAAGGATGTAAAATATTTCGTAAATCAGTTATAGGAAGACAATAGGGAGAAAAGGATGCCGTTTTAGGATGTAGGATTTCAATAGAAGGAAAGAGTGGTTAGGATATCTGGGTGAGAATGAACACCATGTTCTTTCTGTAGAGTTTATATATGTAGTTCATAAACACACACATACACACATACATTCTCAAAAATACACATTCACTAACATATTTACACACACACACACACACATACGCACACACATACACAAACATGCATTCATACACACACACACACACACACACACACACACACACACACAAAACCATACACATCTATACCACATACTATGGTAAAATACAGAACAATATAACTATAAAAAAAAGCATTACGAAAAGGTTTGATAACAAGGGAAAAACAGAATCGCCGGCCTTTCCATCGTTGCACAAAAACGTATAATTGTTCGACCGTCGAATGCACTCGTCTCTTCGAAAGCATGCTTCTCACTGATGAATTTTTACCACTTGTCGTCATGAACTCAAATACAGGCACAAAGCACAAAGACTGAGGCTCAATTTGCATGCAAGAACTGTGTGTAATTTCGACAGTGAATGCTTGAGTGTCTGCCTGTGTTTGGCTGTTTGCTTGTTTGTGTTTTTTTCAGTATGTATTGTTTGTATGTGTGTGTTTGTGTGTGTGTGTGTGTGTGTGTGTGTGTGTGTGTGTGTGTGTGTGTGTGTGTGTGTGTGTGTGTGTGTGTGTGTGTGTGTGTGTGTCTGTGTGTGTGTGTTTGTGTGTGTGTGTGTGTGTGTGTGTGTGTTTGTGTGTGTTTGTGCATGTGTGTGTGTGTGTGTGTGTGTGTGTGCGTGCGTGTGTGTGTTTGTGGCTGATCGTTTGCATATATGTACTTACACTTAAGTGTCTGTGTGACTACTTGTATGTGTATGTGTGTTTCTGTCCAAGCATAACATTTTGTTCATGTGTATATATGACTATTTGCATTTACCTGTCTGTCTGCGTGTCTATGTGAGTGAGCCTGTGTTTGCGTGCATGCAAAGAGAACGCAGGAAACGTGGGTGTCCCTTAATCAATGTCAGAGGTGCGGCTACTCTCCATGCTTAGCCAGGCTGTTAGGTAGGTTTCTCTCTCTCTCTCTCTTCTTCTCTTCTTTAATCCTTTTCTCCCTTCCACTATCTTTTTCTCCCTTTATCTCCCCTCTTTTTTAATTCTGCCTCTCATCTCCTCTCTTTCTCTTATCGCATTTCTATCCTTTCACTGTTGTTATTTTCCTCCTTTCTCTCCTTTCCGTATTTCTTTCTCTCCCTCTCATTTTCTTTCCTCTTTCTCTTTCTTGCTTTTCCATTTCTCTTTACCGTTTCTTTATTTTTTCCTCGTTTCTTCCTCTTTCTTCTTCCCTCCCCCTCTCCTCCTTTCCCTCGCTTATCACTCTCTCTCCCTTCTCCCTTCCTCTCCTTTCTTTCTTTCTTTACGTCTCTCCCTCTCCTTACCTTCCTCTTTTAACCTCATTTCCCCTCTTCTTAATTTCTCCTTCCGTTCCTGTCTCCTGTCTATCCTTTATTTCCCATCTCCCTTTTCTCCTCCCCATCCTTTTCCCCTGCTCACCCTTCTCCCACTTTCCCTCCCCACTCTCCCCCCTCCCCTCCCCACCTCCCCCCCTCTTATCTCTCCCCACTCATTTCCCCTTTCCTTATCTCGTTCCCACGCTTCTGCCCTCTTCCCCCTCCCCCCCCCTTTTCCATACCTACCCTAATCGCCTTTCTATTCCCCACTTCTCTTTTCATTTTCATCTTCCCACCTTTCTCCCTTTTCCCCTCCCCACTCCTTTTCCCCCTTTTCTCTCTCCATTCCTTTTTCCCCTTTCTCCTCTCCATCTTCTCCCCTTTTCCCTTTTCCTTTCCCCACTTCCCCATGTCTCTTTCCCCTCCCCATTTCTCTTTCCCTTCCCCACACTTCTCCCTTTTCCCCTTTCCCCACCTCTTCCCTCTCCCCTCTTTTCCCTTCCCCCTTCCCCATCTCTTCTCCCCCTCTCCCCTCTTGCCTCCTCCTCCCCCCTTTTCCCCCTTCCCCCACCTCCCCTTATCTCTCCCCATCCCCTCCTGCAAATGACTCTCCCTTCCCCCCTTCCCCACCCACCCCCTTACGCTATCTCCCTCCCCCCCTCTTCCGCCGGCGAAATTTCGAAGGTAAATCATCTCCTGGGTCGAATTAAACACTTAAGTCTACTCACGAATCGAGAGATTAGAACGAGGGGCTGCAGGCGTTCGTGATTGTAAAGTGATTGTGGATTGGTTATGGGTTGATTGTGGGATGGATGTAGGCTGTGGAGCGATTGTCAGCTCGGGAAGAGAGAAGGGGGTGTGGAGATAATATATGTATGTATGATATACACATATTTTTATATATACACATACATGTAAGTATATAACTATATCTATATCTATCTCTCTATCTCTCTATCTCTCTATCTATCTATCTATCTATCTATATATATATATAAATGTAGATAGATATAGATATATGTATATGTATATATATACACACGCACCTCTCTCTCTCTCTCTCTCTCTCTCTCTCTCTCTCTCTCTCTCTCTCTCTCTCTCTCTCTCTCTCTCTCTCTCTCTCTCTCTCTCTCTCTCTCTCATTCTCACTCTCTTTCACTCACTCTCCTTTAAAAGCCCAAATAAGGACTGCCTCATTCCGGGCATCGATTTCCCTCCCAGTTTTCCACCTAAATTGAACCGATTAAATTGATCGACTTTAATGAATGGCAAGAACAGCTGTTATTATCGTATGTCGAGGAAACAGGAGGGTCGTGTGATAAGGGACTGAGGGAGGGAGGGAGGGAGGGAGGGAGTGAGGGAGGGAGGGAAGGAAGGAAGGAGGGTACCGAGGGGAGGGAGGGAGGGAGGGAGGGAGGGAAGGAAGGAAGGAAGGAGGGTACTGAGGGGAGGGAGGGAGGGAGGGAGGGAGAGAGGGAGGGAGGGAAGGAAGGAAGGAGGGTACCGAGGGGAGGGAGGGAGGGAGGGAGGGAGATAAGGTAGGAAGAGAGGGGAGGAGGGAAGGTAGGAAGGGAAGGAGGAAGGATGGATGGAGGGAGGGAGTAGATGGAGAGAGGAAGGGAGAGAGGGAGAGAGTGAGGGAGTGAGTGAAGGAGGGAGGGATGGAAGGAAGGAAGGAAGGAGGGTACCGAGGGGAGGAAGGGAGGGAGGGAGGGAGGGAGATAAGGGAGGAAGAGAGGGGAGGAGGGAAGGTAGGAAGGGAAGGAGGAAGGATGGAGGGAGGGAGGGAATAGATGGAGAGAGTATGGGAGAGAGGGAGGTAGGGAGGGAGGTGGGTGGGAAGGAAGGAGGGACAGAGGGAGGGAAAGAAAGAAGGGTGGGAGGGAGTATTGAGGATAGGGAGCGAGAAAGAGGAGGAGGGAAGGAGGGAGTGAGTGAGGGAGGGAGAGAGTGAGGAGGGAAGATTTCAGGCTAGGGAGGGAGTGAGTGAGGGAGGGGGGGAGGGGATAGATGGATGGAGTAGGGGAGGGAAAGAAGAAAGGAAGGAAGCTAGGATGAAGGAAAGGAGGAAAGTAAGGAGGGAGGGAGGGAAGGGAGGAATTTAGGGATGGAGGGAGGGAAAATGGAAGCACTGAGTGTGTGTGTATACACACATACACACATACACACACATCTATCTATCTGTACACACACACACACACACACACACACACACACACGTGTATATAGACAGATAGATAGTTAGATAGATAAATAGATAAACAAAAATAAATAGATAGATAGATGAAT